TTTTTAATGCTGAAGATATATTTTTTTTTTCTCACATTATTACGAGTGTTATTTTTGTCTTTTTGTATTAAATGAGTCTATTGCCCTTATTATTGTTAATATTACACCATCAAATGCCAATTAATAATCAGATTAGTTAATCTAATCATAAATTTAATCTGATGTTAATCCCCTTTGATGTTTTTGAGTACAAGATTAAACATTGCAGTGTTGCCATACAAAACAACAGAAAATGTCACTGTTTGTTATCAAAACAATGCATGTTTTACAAAAAAGAAGAAGGCAATTGTAAATTTAATATGAAAATTAATGAAAACTTAAATTTAAAACCAAAAATGTGTATTTTGGGTGTGCATAAATTATACTAATTATACTAATAGAACATTTTAATGTTTATATTTATAAAAATTGTATTAATTTTTTTGCATCAGCTGTTTACACGTTTGCATTTCATGCATAAGTTTAAACCACCTCCATTGGGCGCTTAAACTTGCAAACAAAATTAACTAATTGAGTTCTCAAAGACAACTTTCGAGGATTAATTTTAATTTAATCGCTAATCTTTCACCTAAATATTGGTCCTAAGAGTTGTAAAATATTTTGTGTTATTTTTATTTTATTCTGTCAGGATCAAAAAATATATAAAATTTATTTAATTTTTTTTTAATTAATATTGAAAACCTAAATAGATATTAAAGGATAAACATTTAAAAAAAAATATTTCCCAAATCTTCTTGTTCGCTTGATATCAAATTTGTTTGAAAATACTTCTAGTATTTTCAAATATTTTTTTGAAAAAATATACTTTTTAAATGCAGTTTTTCGCCATTAAATTTATAGTTTCATCCGGTTCGTGTCTAACGTATTTTTTTCTTTCTGTCGGACGGTGTTATATAATTAAAATTAGTTGTATTCTATACTACAATTTCAATTCCAAATAATTTCCAAAAAAGAGCATAAAAATGACTTCTTGAGAATGAAGTACTGAATTTGGAATCAAATAAAAACTACACACCTCCTATGACAATACAGTGTTAAAATCACCACTTCAGGTAATTTTCAGTACTTCCATGGAGTAAATTCTACTTCTTTTTGTCTTCTTTGGAAGTTCTTTTTTTTGTGGGTATTTTAAAAATACAATTTTTTTGTTTGCTCATGGAATGAAACATATGTATATTTTTAAAAAGGGCTATGTCCGGTGGTTCATTACCAATTTTTATTTTTTTACTATACGTCAAAATTTTCAAATAAAGAGGTTTTGATTCAGCCTTATCCTTCAGTAGTGCTTGTAAACTATTCGAAAATTGGTATTGATTTTGAGGTGAAATTTCTTAACCCATTTTTATACCCTTCACCTTCGTGAGAAGGGTATATATAAGTTTGTCATTCCGTTTGTAATTTCTAAAATATAATTTTCCGACCCCATAAAGTATATAAATTCTGAATCCTTATAGATAGCGGAGTCGATTAAGCTATGTCCGTCTATCTGTCTGTCTGTCAGTCTGTTGAAATCAGTTTTCTGAAGACCCCAGATATCTTCGGGTCAATAATTCTATCAGACATGATTTCGAGAAGTTTCCTATTTAAAATCAGCAAAATCCGTTCATAAACAATGGAGATATAAGCAAAAGTCCGAGACAACCTCTGAAAATTTAATTAAAAATAAACAACAACAACACTGCTTATTCATTGCCTTTGTATTTTGTTTTTTTTTTTTTTTTTGAGTATTTAGTTTCGTATGTTTGGATGGCTGTGTGTTTCATTGCCTTGTGTATATTGTTTTTGTTTCTTGGTACATTCAATTTCGTATGTTTGGATGGCTGTGTGTTTCATTGCCTTGTGTAATACACAAAATTTCGTTTCGTATGTTTGGATGTCGGTTGGTTTTACTGTCTTGTGTATTTTGTTTTTTGTGTTTATTTCGTTTAGCGTTGTTGTTGTTCATTATCTTTGGCTATTGCTATAATAATGATATAGTCGTGAAAATGAATTTTTAAATACATATAAGGGTATATAAGATTCGGCACAGCCGAATATAGCACTCTTACTTGTTTAATAGTTCTTTTTGTTTATAACAGATTTTTGGGAGATTTTTTGATACGTTAAAAAAATTACGACAAAATTATTGACATTTTATTCCTGAATTACAAACTTATGGATCTGAGTATATCATTCTCATTAATATTTTTTCCGACTTCTATTCATCAAGATTTGCGAATATTTCAACAGAATTTTCAACATTTTTGTGACACTAATAAAAAGTTTTATATATAAAAAACTAAAACTCTGAATATTAAATTTTTTCTCCATAAAAGATATGGAAAATCACCCAGATGCTTATATTAATATCGATATATGTATGACAAGTTTTTGATGGTTGGTATATAAGATTGATCGTAGTCGAATACAACACTTTTACTTGTTTTGATGTTAAGTTTTATTAAATCCCGATTTAATGAATAGCAATTTTTAATTCCCGCTTTTTAAAAATATTTTCTTCAAAATCTCGCTTTTTAATGACTCGGATCCCTCTTTTATTCAAAAACCATCTGGTCACGTTATGCATAAACCTTTTAAACCTAAACCGAAGGCATGAAAAATTGCACGCAATTCACTCATGTAACTCTACTAAAGGAATTGTAATATTTCACTATAATGTGGTATGTTGATTTTTTTGCTATCCAGAAACACTTAAAACAAACAGTTAAATAAAACAAGTGTGGATTTTGAAGTAATAAAGGAGAATGAGAACAACGTTTTTATTTAAACAATAGAGTTGCCATAAGAATTATATTACTTTAAAGTATTGCTAATTTAGCGAGAAAATAAATTTTTCAATTTCAACATCCTCACTAAAAATTTCATATTCATCATAGAAATTAACTGATTAAATTTTACATTAACAAGATGCTTGGTAAAAATATCTGCTACATTATTTTCAGAACATATGTATTTGAAATAAATTTTTTTCAATACTATATTGTCCCTAATAAAATGATACCTTACATCGATATGTTTGGTTCTGGGATGAAACGATTCATTTGTAGCAAGATGAATTGTACTTTGATTGTCACAAAACAGTACGGTTGGCTTGAGTTGGTATTGCGTTAGCTCTTCTTCTAATCCTCTTACCCATAGCACTTCCTGCACCGCCATACCCATTGACATATATTCTGCCTCGCAAGTCGAAAGGACTGTTGTCTGCTGTTTCCGGGAACCCCATACTATAGCACCACCTTTTTTCATTAACACGTAGCCACTGACTGATTTTCTTTCTTGAGGATCCGCTGCATAATCAGCATCACAAAAACACGTAGTTTCAAAAACGGATTTCTTTTCAAAAATTAATTTGAAGTTGATGGTACCTTTTAAATACCGTAAAACACGTTTTGCAGCTACCCAATGTTGATTGTTATATTTGTTGTTAAAACGACTAAGCAGGTTTACAGCGAAACTTATATCTGGCCTAGACACATCGGCTGCAAATAGTAAACTACCTATAAGTTCTTGATACGGAACCTTCTACCCTACTGCCAAAATAATTAAATTTTCCGTATTTTCATTGAGAACATAAACGCACTGATCGGATTTTAGATGTCTCATTCCTAAACTTTTCAATATACCACTTAGTTTTTCATTCCACATTCTGGACGCTTGTTTTAAACCGTACAATGGTTTATTTAACCTTAAAACATGACCATCTGTAATAGGTATACCGGGGGCTCAATGAATATTTCGTCTTCTAGATTTCCTTTTACTACTGATTTTCTTTCTTGTGGATCCGCTGCATAATCAGCATCACAAAAACACGTAGTTTCAAAAACGGATTTCTTTTCAAAAATTAATTTGAAGTTGATGGTACCTTTTAAATACCGTATATCTGGCCTAGACACTTCGGCTGCAAATAGTAAACTACCTATAAGTTCTTGATACGGAACTTGTTCACTGGACTTGATGAATTCATCGGTGTTATGAAATTTTTCATTTGGATCCGTTGGAGTAAGCACTGAATTGCAAGAAACCATATTAAAACGCTCTAACATCCTTTTTATATATTCTGTTTCGTCAAGAGTTATGCATTCGCCAAATTTATAATTAATTCTCATACCTAGAAACGATTTTGCTGGACCAAGGTCCTTCATTTTCAATTCATCCATTAGCTGTCTAATTAATGTATTCATATCATCCACATATAGGGTAGAAGGGGGATCATTAGCCATAGGGGCACATCTGCCAAAGCGAATTACTTGAAAGTAATCGATTTTATCGCATTATCAAATTTTGTTTGCATTTATCGATTATCTATCATCCCTGAAAGTTTGAAAGATTAACTTTACATATGATGGGAGGCAGACGTGATTAATTGTTTTTCAAAGGGCTGTGAAAATATTTCACTGTGTGAATTTTTTGTGCTAACTTTTTTAGTTTTTGTGATAGAAAAAATATATTGGTCAGTGATAGAACGTCAATAATAGTGAATAATAAGACATAATAATATTTTCGATAATATAATTTGAAGTCCGAAAAAAATTGAAACTAAACCACAGAACTGCCCGTGGGGCACATTCGCCAAATATATGTAATGCTTTTGATGTAGAACAAAATTTGGTTAAAATATAGAAAAAAATCAGTAATAATTTGTTTATTTTTTTTGTTAATTTATGTGAAATAAACAATAAATATCTAGTTTATTATACTTTGTTTAGTGAATTAAAATATAAAACAGCAATATAAGTTTTTATTTTTTAATTTTTTTGGCTTATTTTACTAATGACAAATCTGCCCCATCCCCTTGGCGTATTTACCCCATGGATGGGGCGGTATCGCCGTTTTTAGTCAGTGCGGAAAAGTTAAAAAAATATGTGCATGAGGATGACTTAGGAAAGATTGAAAGGGATAAAACTAAAGCCAACATATCTAAGTAGCTGAACCAAGACAAAAATTAAGAATATGTATTGTGGTTTTAATTTCCCCCTTCTACCCTACTGCCAAAATAATTAAATTTTCCGTATTTTCATTGAGAACATAAACGCACTGATCGGATTTTAGATGTCTCATTCCTAAACTTTTCAATATACCACTTAGTTTTTCATTCCACATTCTGGACGCTTGTTTTAAACCGTACAATGGTTTATTTAACCTTAAAACATGACCATCTGTAATAGGTATACCGGGGGCTCAATGAATATTTCGTCTTCTAGATTTCCTTTTACTCCATGAGTTGTTTTCTAATAATGATTTATATTCACATTTATATTTCATCCAATATTTCTTTTCAGTACCGTTTACAGCATCGGAATATTTAACTGGATCTTCGGCATTACCATACGTTAAATACGTTATATAGTCATCCATTGGCGTAGGTTTTCTTATTCTTGTTGATCGACGTGGAGTAACTGCTATGAAATCATCTTGTTGCAGGGGCTGTTGTGAATATGGATTTTCTACGGAAATATCATCCGCACATTCAATGGGATTAGAATGTTCTTTAAAATAAATCCTCACTAAATTCTCATCACGTTGTGTAGACTTAGGTTTTTCATCATTTTTGGGCATTGATTTTTGTTTCAGCATATAAACAAATACTTTTTTTGAAAAATCATCTAAAAACAACACATAGTATTCCGCACCACCTATAGATTGCTGCTCCATTTTACCACAGACATCCGTGTGCACTATTTGCAAAATATCGTCTGTCTAAGTTGTTGAAGGCTTATACGACGTACGAAATTGTTTTCCACGTAAACACGATTCACATATTTTTCCATTTTTTGTAACTTTACATTTATTTTTAACGAACTTAACCTCAAAGTCGTTGTGGCACAAGTTATGCATTTCTTATTTTTAAATATTCTAATTTATTTTTTACTTTTTGTTGAATCCGTACGTCACCAATACCAATAACGTTAACTTTGCAGTCGTAACCTACAGTTACAGATTCATCTACATCAAATTTCTGTAAACTTACAAATACATCTTCAGAGTTCACCATATGTGTTGTGACGCCAGAATCAAGCAGCCATATATTGTCGGCTCTGTTTAAATTTTCTGCAAACTTCGCTGCAAGCGTTTTTTCATTATTGTCGCCATTTTTGTACTTTTTTGGCACTTTACAAAATTTTGCAATGTGTCCTCCCTTTTTGCAATTAAAACAAATAATTTTCTTATTTCGGTCTGGACCTTTTTTGCTTTTTTGATTTGCATAAAACGCTGATTCCACAGATATGGCGAAGTTATTATACGAATCAAAATCCTGCAGCAATTTTGTCTTGATGGTGTCTGCGGTAATATTTATGTTGCTACTTTCTATAGCCATTATCATGGGCTTAGCAAAAGGCTTCCAACCTACTCATCATTTACTTTGAAACCAATTTGATTGAGTTTCTAGGCGGTGTCAATAATAGAATTAACATACTCACTTATGTCCTTAACAATCCACACCTACGTGTTAAACCAGAATCGTCGTACGTTGCTTGGAGTTTATTCCAAATATCTTTTAAGACATCTTGTATGTGTACATATAAATTTGGAGAAATATATAACACCAACCTCGACATAGCCCTCTCCTTTATGGCAGCATTCAGCTCAGTCCCCAAAACGACTTTCCAAAAACCTTGCAGCTTCATCGCGTGCTCCACAGTAAACTTCCATTAATGATAGTTTTCTCTACCAGTCAATTTTTCAATTTCGATAACCTTTTCCATTATGCGGCATTCTCTGGGCCCATAACCTGTTGAATTTTGTTTTGCTATCCAGAAACACTTAAAACCAGTGTGACCAGGTCTCAAAAAATGTTGCAGCTAAATCCCATCCAAAATAATGCTAGAAAAAATGCAATTGAACCTTGGTTCCGATATATTTAAACTAATTTTCTGAGAAAGGCTTTATACATTTGTATATGTATGGGGGCTAGGTAAAATAAAGGACGGACTTTAACCATTTTTAAAAGGTTTTGTCATTGGATCAAAAAGCATACGTGCTTATTGTTTTGAAAATTTCAACCTCTACTAGACGTCAGACTTACATGGCTTAATCGATTCAGAAAATGATTCTTAACCGATTAGTATACTCAAACGTAGTATAGTGGAGTAGGGTAAAAAATTAAGTTCCGTGGTATTAAGATAAACAGAAATGCTAAAAATTATTTCAAAATTTTTGTAAATTTAGCAATATGTAATGTCTCTAACTTTAAAATATTTCTGAATGCAAAAATTACATTAAAACTCTATTAATTACACTAGTTGCTCATGGTATAAAACCTATATGTGTTTTCGAAAGGAAAAGTATAATATTTCTAGTTTTACTTTTTTTATATAAACAATTTTATTTGTCTTCCTCAAAACTCTTTAAAAATGGTTTTCATGTCACAAAAATATTGAAAATTCCGTTGAAATAATTTTAAATCTCGGTGAATAGATGTCAGGTTTATAACTCATACTTCCAAGATTTTTTCGAAAAAATATATATGAGAATGTATGAAATGAATTGAGAGATATATTCAAATCCGTAAGTTTGTAATTCTGGAATAAATTGTCAATAATATTTTCGAAATTTATGTATTTTTTTTAATTAAAAAAAAAAACGTGACTACAAAATTACTAAAAATTTGGTAAAAATAAAAAGAACAGAAAGTAGGATGAGAAAGTCTTAATTATATAGTATTGATTTTTTTCAATACTTATTTTCAATAAATTAACAAGAACTCCTGAAGAATGATAAAAATTAAAACCTCTTTATTTCGTATAGGAAAAAATAAAATTTGTTAATTAACCGTCATACATAGCCTTTTCCAAAATTATATGTTTCATTCCATGAGCAAACAAAAAGTATTAGTTTGTAAAATAGCGTACTGAACGTATTTGTAAAAATATATGAAATCTCTTGAATTATTTCTATCACCTCGAATTTAAAAAAGCATTGGGTTCCAGAAAAATATTCTAGAATACAACATTTTAATGTATTCACTTTTATTGGCGTAATTTTAAGTTATTTATCTTCATGAATCTTTTTATTTTGAATTACAGTGTAAATTATTACATATCTCATATTTCTTCTTGCTTGTGTTTGGGTAGACATTTAATTCTGATTTTTTCCGGTTAAACCTATTTCCAATATAAATCTTTTTTGCAAAAATTTGTCTTTTTTTTTGTTTATATACTAAAATTGCAAAAAAAGCTAAAAATGCTAAAAATATTTTATAAAAACGCTAAATAAAATGCCAAATGCTAAATTAAAATTTTACAGCTAAATCAAAATAAAAAATGCTAAATCTAGCTGCAAAAATGCCAAAATGGTCACACTGCTTAAAACAAACAGTTAAATAAAACAAGTGTGGATTTTGAAGTAATAAAGGAGAATGAGAACAAAGTTTTTATTTAAACAATAGAGTTGCCATAAAAATAATATTACTTTAAAGTATTGCTAATTTAGCGAGAAAATAAATTTTTCAATATTTAATTTTTATCAATATCACGCTGAAAAATTAATTTAAATATAAATAATTTATTCGTAATACCTTTAATAATGAATTTTAAAATAAATATTGTGCACCAATGAAAATTCGTTTAATCGAATGATCATTGGTTGTAAGCTAATGTTAAAATCATGCATGTTTCACCTTAATTATCAGTTGAACCCATATTTATACTACTTTTTTGAACATCTTTTTTTGTGGGGAAAATAAGGTCGTTTCGATAATATTTTCCGCCAAAATACGAAAACCCAATATATTTTGTGTGTGAAAAATAAAATAAGTATATTTTAGTTTATTCATTAGATGTAGGAATGATTAATTTCTGTCCCTGCAGTGAATTTCATCATAAAAATGCATCCAACAATTCTGTGTATATCATCAGTTGGACATGTCAAAGAGACTGGAATCCTCTTCCGAAATAGCCTGCATTCTAAAAGCTTCACTTTGTGATATTGGCGGTGGGAAGCACAAAACATAATTATTCCATCCATGTAATATAAAGCCTATAAGGCCAAAATAGCAATATTACAAAGTACAAATATTTGCCATAGAATATTTATTCATATTATATAAAAAATATATAAACAAATTAAATTAATTACTATAAAATATTCATTCAAATGCACATAGTCTGGCTTATCATGTTTTTTTGGCCAAAACTATAAAAATATTATTTTTACATTGAAAATTTATTATGTATTAATTTGAGATAGGTTTATATAAATTTCCGCGTTTTTAACCCTTTTGTGACCAATTAAAATATTTTTGAAATTTTTTATTTTTTAAGCAAAAATTAGCTTTAAAAACTGCCCATTTGTAATTAAACGGGCAAGTTATATTATAATTAATTAATGGCAAATATTTCCCAACAAATTGGTCTAATTTAATAATTTTTTAATGAATAAAATGTATCTCATATATTTTGTACATCAGCCAAACTTTTTTATATTTAACGTTTCAGAAGTAAAATCTATATTATCATCATTAATTTAAATAAGTAATATGTTTAATGTATTCTTTCCTTAACTAAAAAATCTGTTGAAAAAGAATAATACCAACATTTTAGAAATATATATTTTTTTTAAATTTATGAAAAATATTTTACTTTTGTTTTATCGCGGTCTAAAGCCGCATGGCCACACGTCCACATTTGATCAAATCTTGTTTATGTGTTAGTAATTTATTCCAGCAATCATTGAGGAAGAAGAAGCATAAATTTCATTTTTATTTAGATTTTGCGACGGCAACATCATTTTTTTTACCGCATGGTGATAAAAAATTTGTGAAAAAATTTTATGCGTTATGTGTCTATACTGTTACACATACAATTTTTACCATTATTATAAATGTAATTTTTGTTATAAAAAACAATTATTTATTTTTTGAAATTATTTTTTAATTAATGAAAAATTGTTTTATTAAAAAACTATATTTTTCTTTGTATATATTTTAAGTAAAATTTGGTACTGTGCCTGTAAATAAATTCGAATATATGTAGTAGTTTTTTCAAAAAACAAAAACAAATCTTTCAAGTGTTTACTTTAATACTGCAAGTAAATGTGCGATTTGAATTTTGGCCATAAATTGCATATTTCTAGGCCTATATGCAATGGCTCCCTATAATACAAAAAGAATTAAAATAAAATTACAAATTATTACCAAATTAGAAGAAAAATATATATATTTATATAAATCCCAAGTGGTGAAAGGATAATTTAAATAGTTCAAAAAATATAGCAGTCATTCAGGTACCCGAATCTACTAAATTTGTTGGGAGACTAAAGTCGCAATTTGACCCTAAGTGCTTTGCCACTTTTTGTGACCCCTTGCCAAAATGAACTAAATTTGCGACTTCTTGCCACTTTTTGTCCCTTTTTGAATAAAACACATTTTTGTATTTTAATTCCCACCATCAAAAAAGATGGTGATTGTTTTTGTCATTCCAATTGTAATACATCGAAATATATGTAGGACATGGCTCCATAAAAGAATATATCGAGGGACTATATTCAATAGTCTCTATCTGTCATTTTCATGAAAATAAGATTTTGAAGGC